AGCTAATTCATGTTAACAGGACAAATCTGCACCTGCAGGAAAACAGGCAAGCAATAGTCCGCATTTCAAATTCAAGGGAAAAAAAATCTCATGACCAAAGTATTAAAAACATAAATTTAAATCCCTGGAGAAATGCAGAGCTATTTATAACAGTTAAAAAATCACCACAAACTGAACACTATTTACAGATGTCAGTATTAAAAAACAGTATTAACAGAGTGGGGCAGCAGATGGAGCGGGTTTCTCTATTAACAGGGTTCCTATGACATAGGGCAAATTAACTTCAAGACTTTTTAAGACTTTTTTGTCCCTTGAAATAAAACTGTCTGACATAACAGTTTACTTTGGTTTCTAATAAGTAGCTTCCAGTTTCATTTTGAATAATCTGTCCCTTTACTTCCTGTTTTCTTACCTTTTCTGAGTTTCCTTATTGGTTTTATATCTTTCTTACAGCTGGCTGTTTCCTGCTGATTAATTTCTCAGCTTTCAGTTCTTGTTCTGACATCGCTTCTCTTTGATTCCTCGCTCTCTGGAGTCTCCGCTGTTTCTTCTTCCACTCATCCTTTCTTAGTTTATATTCTTCCTTTGGTTCTTCAATAACTGCTGGTTTGTCCAGTCGCTACTGCTCAATGCTAAACTTGTGTAATTCTCCCCTCCGTCGTCCATTCCTCCATGTTTCTGGTTTGTATTTTAATTAAATTAGTTTCATGATCTTTAGATCAAATTCTGGATTTTTTTTTTTTTACCTCAGACTTTGTTTTTCTAAGTTTCTTGTTATATTATTCAAAATATCTTTATTTTCTTCACCTCTGCCTCCCTTTTGCACAACCACCAGTCCTATTGTGACAGAAATGTATTATAACAAAAAAAATTAAGGGGAAAAAATCAAATCAACCAATGATATTTGCAAAACCTTCCATTATATTTCCACTTTGAATTCAAGCAAGTGAAATAACATATTTAAATATACAGCCTTGATAAGGACGGCCTAATTAACTAAAATCATTTATCATCTATTGCTGATGAACGGATTCTGCAAACAGGTGTGTTCAGATGTAGATGTCAGTCCGTTTCCTCTCAGTCATTCGTTCTAATTATCTTTGTAGCTCCGTCTCAGTCAATATTCTCCACACTGATGGGAGATAACAGAGATTAGATCTTAATGCACAAACAAACGCCTAATGGAAGTGACATAGTCTGCCATTCAGAGGCTGCTGTCGCTATCACTGAGCAGATACCTCTGTCTGAATGCACTTTTTAAATGGTTTATGTCTTCACGCTGCGATTATGCAGATCTGCTGCACCTCTAACTGTTCTGCAGCAAAGAAGAGACGCAGTTCTAGTGACACAGGGAGGAGAGACGGGAAAAACGATAGCATGCATAACGCCATGCAGGGAAATGGGAGGGTGGTTAGTGGCGGTGGGGTGGAGGGGCAGAGACTCACTCAATGGGGCCTGTGCTTTTTTGCCCTTTTAGGCTGCATACACGCAGAGATCCCCTGTGTTTTGTGCTTGAGCAGCTTGACTGATTGGTAAAGCTGCCTGTCACACAGGCGGCTGCTGCTCTCTGTCAATGCTGAGCAGACAGGAAGCCCGGGCGCCTGCCCCGCCATGAATTCTCTCTAAACACCAACAACAACAGCCTCAATCAATGTCCTCTGCAGGGACACCTGGTCTGCCGGCGACTTCTTTCCCTCCAGAATGAGCTCACACTGTGCTTCACTCCCACAGCCGTCTCAAACAGCTCATTGGTTCCTTCTATAGACGGCCACGGGTTCCTGTTGCTACAAGAAGAGAACATTATTCTTCTTGTTCAAAATAAAAACGGTAACAATCCTCAGCCTCCAAGAAAGAAACATAATATAATATAGTATTAGAAAGTCATATTTACTGAACTTTGGCCAATAAAGTTAATTTTTGACCCCATCTGCTCTGAAATTACAGCCATTTGCGTGTCTGAGTGAAGGTGTGAAGAAGCCTGAAGAAGCGCTGGATAATTCAGAGCCTCTGAGTCTTTTTATCCTATTAGCTGCAGGATTAAAACGCAGCTAATTGCAAAGTGGTTCAGAGTGAGTGCCTCATGAGTGCCCACTTTGGCAAATTTAAGGGAGCGCCTTCATCATCTGTGGCTTCTATGAATTACTGCTTGGCTGGGCCCAGTTTAGCCTCAGAGGAAGTCTTTTCAGTTTCTGGAAGCTTCGGAAAGAAAAGTTTATAGACTGCAGTTCATCTGTTAACATCCAAAGTTGATTTGAGCTGCTGGTTGGGGAAATAGAGTGTGATATTCAGAGGAGTATTACAAACTATTCAGGGTATTCTATTCTGTTTTCCCACTATTCTGGATCATGAAAGGAACTTTTTATAATGCTGGTCCAGCTGGCACTAAGATTTTAAATGGTCGGATGATTTCCAAGTCTTAAAGATATGGAAGAGGATTAGGGCCACTGAAAAAAA